GCACTTCAGTTGTGCTACAGGGCACAAATAATGTATTGAAATTACTTCATTTAAATGGGAGGGTTGTACTGGTTTGACAGCCTTTATATGGTGTTTTGGCTAAAACCAATAGTTTAATTTTCGGACTAATATAAAATCATAATCATGGTATTGCGCAGGAAATGTGCATATACTTTTCAAGTACAGTAGGTACTAGAATGTCCAGTTTGGTATTTTTACAATATGGTATTCTTTTTCATTACAAGAAAATTGGAAAACCTATAGTATCTGTCTACATACAATTGTGTTCAAAATAATAGCAGTGTGTTGAAAAAAGTGAATAAAGCTCAAAATCCTTCTAATAGCTTTTATTTCCATACACACAAATGCATTGGGAACACTACACATTCTATTCCAAATCAAAACATGAAAAAAATATATCAAATTTGTGTTGTTCCTCTAAAAAAATTTAAGAAAAGTGAATATTAGACTGTTCAAAAAAATAGCAGTGTTTGTATTCTTCTTTACAAACGCAAAATTCACTATATAAACTGAAAAATGTTTGAAGATTTTGCTTTCCTTTGAATCACTTCTTGCATCTGTGTTGCATGGAGTCAACCAACTTCTGGCACCTGTGAACAGGTATTCCAACCCAGGATGATTGGACTACATTCCACAGTTCTTCTCTATTTCTTGGTTTTGCCTCAGAAACTGCATTTTTGATGTCACCCCACAAGTTTTCTATTGGATTGGGTTGGCCACTCTATAAACGTCAATCTTGTTGGTCTGGAACCAAGATGTTGCACGTTTACTGGTGTGTTTGGGGTCGTTGTCTTGTTGGAACACCCATTTCAAAGGCATTTCCTCTTCAGCATAAGGCAGCATGACCTCTTCAAGTATTCTGATGTATTCAAACCAATCCATGATCCCTGGTATGTGATAAATAGACCCAACACCGTAGTATGAGAAACATCCCCATATCATGATGCTTGCGCAACCATGCTTCACTGTCTTCACAGTGTACTGTGGCTTGAATTCAGTGTTTGGGGGTCGTCTGACAAACTGTCTCCGGCCACTAGACCCAAAAAGAACAATCTTACTTTCATCAGTCCACAAAATGTTGCGCCATTTCTCTTTAGGCCAGTCAATGTGCTCTTTGGCAAATTGTGACCTCTTCAGCACATGTCTTTTTTTCAACAGTGGGACTTTGCGGGGCTTCTTGCAGATAGCTTGGCTTCACATAGGCGTCTTCTAATTGTAACAGTACTCACAGGTAACTTTAGACCTTCTTTGATCTTCCTGGAGCTGATTGTTGGCTGAGTCCTTGCCATTTTGGCTATTCTTCTATCCATTTGAATGGTAGTTTTCCGCTTTCTTCCACATCTTTCAGGTTTTGGTTGCCATTTTAAAAGCATTTGCGATCATTTTAGCTGAGCAGCCTATCATTTTCTGCACTTCTTTATATCTTTTCCCCTATCCAATCAACTTTTTAATCAAGGTACGCTGTTCTTCTGAACAATGTCTGCAATGACTCATTTCCTCAGAATTTCAGAGAGAAATGCACTGTAACCAGCATGTACAACATTTGCTGCCTTCCTTCCTTAAATAAGGGCAATAATTGCCACCTGTTTTTCAAAGAATGAATGACCTCACTAATAGAACTCCACACTGCTATTATTTTGAACATGCCCCTTTCAATTAGTGATTCAATTACACAGAATCAGCAGCATGCATGTCATGACTGTTGGGTCTGTTGGATTTCTATTACTCTACTACACCTACTAGTAAATTATTTGCCATGTAGAAATATTATTTCTACCAAAAAACAGTGATTGATCAGGTTAGTGATGTCTGACTGCTATTATTTTGAACACAACTGTATGTAGCACTACCCCCTTAGCAGTCGCTAAGTTTTTGGGTCCCTCTATAGTCTTGCACAGCCAGGTAACACACATTTTCTTCCATACTTGCACACTGGAGACAGTAAACAGTCCTCAAGCTTGTTTTTGTACTTTTATTAAGGGGAATTGAACTTGGATGTGGTTGAGGGGTGTACGGGATGCCCAGGGAAACTGAAAACATGAGGACAAACTCCTTAGCAACTGTGTACAAGTCCATAGACAAACATGTTTCTTCTAGAAAGAGCTCTCCAGCTCTCCTGGTGTACAACCTCAGACCCCAGATGAATTATTTTCTTCACCCAGCTGCCTGACGGAATCCCTGGGCAAGGGGACCCAGAAACTGCCACTTTAGCAAAACAGCCCCAGCTAAGAAGCTAGTTGGGTTTGCCACCTGACTGCCCTCTCCCCTTATCTGGCCCAGGGGGTGTAGTATTACTCACACAGTCCTCTCCTGTGGGCTTGATGTGTTGGTGGCTGCCTTCAGGCATTATGTGGGGCTGGCTCCTTTCCTGCTCCACAGGTGGTCCTCCCTTAGCGAATGGTGAAGGCTGAGAGATCTTCCTTTTCAGCTCCTGCCTGCAGGTAGGCTCCTCTCCTGGACCCCCTCCCAGGCTCCACACTACAGTCTTCACTTCATCTTCCACCCAACACTACTCCCTTCTGATCAGGCTCTCTCATACTTAAAGACTGTCATGACCCCATGCCAAGCCTCCTGCTTGGGGATTGGTCAGAGTCACTTGAGTACGCAGATCAGCCCCTCCTCACCCCCCACCCACTGCCTTCTAGAAACCGCTCAAGCTTCTAGAGCAGAGAGAGGTATCAGGTGACAGACCTGTCAATCACAGTCAGTAAGCCAATGAGAAGAGAGGGGGGCAAGGCGGGCCCGAGTCACGGCTCCCTGTGTGAATGCAGTGGGTGCACCCATAGCAAACTGCTTGCTGTGGGGGAACCGGAGAGGAGGGAGGGGCCAGGAGAGCCTGTGGGGGACCCGAGAAGAGGAGGATCCAGGCTGCTTTGTGCAAATCCACTGCACACAGCAGGTAAGTATGACATGTTTGTTATTTTTACTTAAAAAAAAAAGCCTTTAGAATCACTTTAAGGCATGATTTAAAATTTCACCAGAAAGCTTTTCAACGGCCAGCACGATTTCCATTATATTCAGTGGTGCCTGTTTACACCTGAGAGATGATTCACACATGTGCGATGTGAATTGAAGCTCAGGTTTCACAGCTAATTGATACAGTAGTTGTTCAGTGGTTCATGTCAGGTTTACATCAGGTTCAGGACAGGGTCAGGTCAGGATCTTATCCCGTTCACACATGTGTGGTTTAGAAACGGTTCTCATAGAAGTCAATAGCCTGTAATCTGCACCTGAAACTGAAGGCACTGCCCAGAAATCGGACATGAATCTTTTTCAAACTGCACTGAATCTGCACTACCAGTGCACCGGACATATGTGAACAGGCACCATAGGAAGCAATGGTACAGGTGTACCTCGGTTTACAAACGCCTTGGTTAATTTTCGGTTTACGAATGAAAATCCATTGAACACAATGCTTCGGTTTACGATTTTGTTACAAATTTTTTTTCACAATACGAAGTGTGTGTCGGTGCCAGTTTTTAAATGCAATTGCCGGCTTTTTTTCTCTTCACTATAGCTCACAGAATCAGCTGTCACTTTCCCGGAAGCTAAAGGATACTTTGTTTCTTTTATCTCGGGAAACAAACTAAAAGGAAACATTGATTCTTTTAACTCAGGGAAATAAACTAAAAGGAAACTTTCTTTCTTTTAGCTGGGGGGAAAGTGACAGCTGATTCTCTGAACTAGAATGAAGAAAAAAAAAGCCGGTAATTACATTTAAAAACCGGCACTGACCTATAGTGACAGCGACTTTTTTAAAAAACTTTTTTCTGACCTACGGAATGGATTATTTGGTTTTCAATGCATTCCTATGGGAATCCGCAATTCGGTTACAATATTTTTGAAACATCCCAGAGAACGCATTAAATACGTAAACCGAGGTACACCTGTATTTCACATGTCATGCGGATTGGATTGCAGTTCAAACCGCATCCAATCTGCATATATGTGAACCGGCACTGACTGCAGTGATGCTTGAAGCTCAGCACTTGAAAAAGTATATGAGTTTCTTTTGAGGCAGAAGAAAATATGCCGGTAGCACACCTCAGTCTTCTTGAAGCCCAACTCTGGGCAAAGTAAGAATACTCTCCTGCAGTGGGTCTGCCCCAAACTATAAGGGTTAAAAGCCCTTTTAGATCTAGGGGACTGGAAAAGCAGTTTTACTTACCCAATCTTTCATTCCCTTGGCATATGGTGCTCCACCATGTCCTGACAGTGTACTGTCCAACAGCATTCTCACATCTAATGCAGGGCTAGGGGTCCCGCATCGCTCTTGATGTTAGACAGTATCCAACCATCTGAGCATAGAGGAAAAGAGGCTGCAAGGACTGGTCTTATGGCACTGAGGAACCTGCAGGAGTGGGGGACTGGATAAGTAAAACTGAGTTTCATTGTCCTATAGACCTAAACAAGCATTTAACTCTTACAGTGCAGGATCACCACCACTACAAGGGAATATTTTTACCTTCCTCAGAGTTCAGCTTTAAATGCATTCTCTGCATTAACCACTTGCCTACAGGGCACTTATACCCCCTTCCTGCCCAGGCCAATTTCCAGCTCTCAGCGCTGTCAAACTTTGAATGACAATTGCGCGGTCATGCAACACTGTACCCATATGAAATTTTTATCATTTTTTTGTGACAGATAGAGCTTTATTTTGGTGGTATTTAATCACCTCTGGTTTTTTTTATTTTTCCTTAAACCAAAACCGCTGAAAATTTTGAAAAAAAAATGTTTTTTCTTAGTTTTTATTGTAAAATTTTGTAAATAAGTGATTTTTCTCCTTCACTGATGTGCGCTAATGAGGCTGCAGTGATGGGCACTGATAGGTTGCACTGATGGACACTGATAGGTGGCATTGATGGGCACTGATGAGGAGGCACTGGTAGGTGGCACTGATAGGCATTGACAGGCATCACTGATGGGCACTGAAAGGCAGCACTGATATATGGCACTGATAGGTGGCACTGACTGGCACTGATAGGCGACACTGACTGGCACTGATAGGAGGCACTGATGGGAACTGATAGGCGGCACTGATGCACACTGATAGGCGGCACTGACTGGCACTGATAGGTGGCACTGATGGGTGACACTGAAAGGCAGCTCAGATGGGCACTGATATGTGGCATTGATGTGCACTGGTAGGCACTGATATGTGGCACTGGCACATGGCACTGTTCAGCACTGGCAGCTGGCACTGATGGACACTGACAGCTGGCACTGATGGACACTGACAGGTGGCACTTCTGGGGCCACACTGATCATCAGGGCACACTGATCATCAGTGTCCTGATGATCAGTGTACATGTCCCCTCCACGGAATGCCGATTACTGGCTCTCCTCTCCTCTCAGGTTGTCAGTGTGACAGCTCGTGAGGAGAGAAATGCCGATAACCGGCATTTCCCTGTTTACATGTGATCAGCTGTGATTGGACACAGCTGATCACATGACCGAGCCAATATCTTCAGCTCTTTCCATTGATCGGTGATCCGCTGTGTCCAAGGGACACAGCGCACCGCCGATCGCCGCGCTGCATGTTCCCTGAGCCGCGCATGTGCGGTGAGAATGGGAGGACATCATATGATGTCCTCCCAGAACGAGAGAACCACCTTGCGCCCGTCATTGGACTATATGGCCAAGCCTCGTTCTATGTGTCAATGGACACACAGAGCGTGGCTTGGGTGCGAGCGTCCCTATAACAAGTAACTTTCTATGGTGGGCACCCGGCCAGGGGGAGCTAGGAGCACCATCAGGGGACCAGGAAGAGGATCGGGGGTTTGCACACAGCAGTTAAGTATGTTTGTTATTTAAAAAAAATATATGGTTTGCATTCACTTTAAATCACATCTATCTTTATTAGTGTATGATTAGTATGTCAAAAACATATTAGAACCTCTGACTTCCTCCATCAGTTTGGGACCCACAGAGGTTCGGAAAAGACATTGACTTAATTTGGCCATGCAGCCATATTAGGCAAATGATGTCATGGGAATCCTCACACCTTTGTGCAGCTGCGAGACGGGGAACGCCCTGAGATGAATTGAAAGCTTCCTTCTGGGTACACTGCAAAGTTCAGACCAACTCATCTCTAATGGGTGGATTCTGGTTCAATGGGAATATTTTACCGGGGCATCAAAGTGGATAGCACTTCCACCTGGTAGCTCTAGGGTCATTGGTTCAATTCCCAACCAAGACATGACCTACCTAGGGGTTTTCATGTTCTCCCTGTGCCTGCATGGGTTTCCTCCCAGGCTTCAAAGGTTAATTTTCCCTAGTATATTTATGTACAGTATGAATGTGAGTTGGGGACCTTACATTGTAAGCTCCTTGAGGGCAGGGCTTGATGTGAATGTATAATATAGATGTAAAGTGCTGCATAAATTAAGAGTGCTGTATAAGTACCTGTAATAAATTATTATTATTCTACAGGATTTATAGAGTGCCAACAGTTTACGCAGCACTTTCCAATATAAGGGCAGACAGTACAATTACACTTGCCCTCCAGAGAATTTACCCCCCTTCCTGAATAGGTAATTTTTTGCGATATGGCGCTGTGTTGCTTTAACTGACAACTGCACGGTCATGCAATGCTGTACATAAATGAAATGTATGTTCTTTTTTTCCCACAATTAGAGCGGCGTTCTTTCAGTGGTATTTGATCACCTCTGCATTTTTTTTATTTTTTGCGCTATAAACAAAAAAAGACTGACAATGTTGAAAAAAAAAAAAAACAATATTTTTGACTTTTGGCTATTAAACATGTCCAATAAAAAAATTTTAAAAATCAAATTTCATCATAAATTTAGGCCAAAACGCATTCTGCTACATGTCTTTGCTAAAAAAAATCCCAATATGTGTAAATAATTGTTTTACCTGAAAGTTATAGCGTTTACAAATGGCAGTATATATACTGGAATTTTTTTTTTTTTTTATACTAGTAATGGCAGCGATCAACGACTTATAGCGGAAGTGCGGTGAGCATTCTGACACTGAGTGGGAACTAACTGCCACTGACATCCCTAGTGACACTAATACAGTGATCAATGCTAATAAAAAGCACCGACAGTGTACTAATAGCACTGGCCAGGAAGGGGTTAACGTTTGGGCGATCAAAGGGTAAACTGTGTGCGGTGTGTGTTTTACTGTGTGCTGTTTAACTGGGAGACATGCTGTTTTGTATTTCTCTGCTCTGCAGAGAAATACAAAACAGCATGTCCTTGCTGGCTGGGGGAGACCTGTGTTGTTTGCACAGAGGTCTCTTCCGTCAGCTTTGCGCGGCGATCATCGGATGCCGGCGGGGAATCTCTGGCCGGAACCCGGTGATTGACATGCCTAGCCACCAATGGCAGTGCGGGTAGGGCTTGCCTGCATTCCGCCCTATCTGCACCGCCATTGGCAGCTAGGCATGCTAATCACTAGGTTGAAAATCATGTATATATACTTGATTTTGTGCAGCTCTGCTGCCATAGTTCTACTATAGGGTGGCGGAGAAGCAGTTAATACAGAAAGGATCAGAGCAGGGGCGGACTGACAACTCATGGGGCCCCCAGGCAATAGGGGATCATGGGGCCCCTGTGTCCTTGCCCACACTTAAAACACACCCAAAAAAGCCTAGAAAAGGTGCCAGGGGCATTTCATGGGGCCCCCTACTGACCCCGGGCCCTCGGGCAGTGCCCGAGTGCTTGAATGGTCAGTCCGCCCCTGGATCAGAGGGTCCTGCTCCTTAGAACTTACAATCTAAGGGCTTGTTCACACTTGACTTTATTTCTAACTCTTGCCAAATGCCCCTATAGTGTTTGACAGGCACTAGGCATTTGGGAAGCATTTTTAACGCTCCCCAAACGCCCTATGCATGGTTTTGAGGCGTTTGATAGGCGTTTGCCAAGCTATAAAACCGCACCACAAACTCCTATAATGACGTTAAATGGTGTTAACGCACCGCAAACGCCTGCCAGGTGTTTGAAGAGTGGCATCATAGACTTGAATGGGAGGCTTCAACTCCTCCTAACTCGTGGCATGTGCAGAATTTTCATAAACGCTTCCCAAACGCCTGTTTGACACCTGCTGACAAAGCTAGTGTGAACGTAGCCTAATAAATGACCTTTTATGGCATTGTTATGTGTTTCTGCCCCAATGGGAGCTTAGTAACTAGACTTTCGCCACCTAAAAAACATTAAAAATAAAATAGTTCAAGCCTAAAATGCTCAAAAAAAAAAAGAGTACTAAAGAATCTCAGCTCAATCCCAGTGTGAAATGAGACCCACCAGTTTATTTCACAGACATGGGCAGATTCGCAACTCACTTCTATTGAGAAGCCACAATGTCATGCTTGTAATAAAGGAACTTCCCTAAGCTATCAGTTGAAGTTAGGAGCCCCACTCCTTGACCTGTCCCCATTACGTCTTGCTAGTCTCCCCAGTGGCCCTGAGGCTACCACTGGGGAGGGGGAAGGGGATGCTTTGCCCTGCAGCTGTCTTTGCTGGAGCTCAATGATTCACCATGTGAAGGCTGTGTGTATACCGGAGGGATCAGAGGAAAGAAAAGAGTGGGAGGAGGAGGAGGGAGAAGAAGTGCGGGAGGAGGAGGATGACAGGGAAGAAGTGTGGGAGGAGTGAACTTTGAATGCGATTTGAAACCAAGAAACAAGTGCACATGAAAACAGAGCAGGATAGTCTATTCCAGATCTCAGCGTGCTGATCGCTCAGCTCACCGGAGACTTTGTATCAGGATCATGCTCGCATTTAAAGGACAGGACTGCTAGACTTTCCCATTGTAAATCTGATCTGCACAATTATCGGATGTGTGCCCTGATCAACCCTACTACAGCCCGGATCATAACATTGGAGGGAAGAAGTGCGGCACATCATCATTGACTGGCTGATCATCTAGCTGAATTTACAGGTAATCCAGTGTCCTAGATCTTTTCTATCGGATGTATAGGACTGTGCTAGAGCCAGCCCATCTGTGACCGCTAGTAGTGTGCATGGTGTGGGGTCTGCACATCAGGGGGGGGGGGGGGGGGGGGGTCTGATTCAGCAGAGCTAGCTTGTGTCTAATGTAGCCATTCTCAAACTTTTTGTTAAGAAATACTTTTTGAGGCTTTGCGATCCCCTGCTTGTGTTTTAGGGCAGCCCTTATTTGATCCAAAAGAACTCCAGGACTTGAAGAAGCCCTGTTTCTGTTCAGCGCAGCCTTTTCGAACCTTCTGGAGGAACCCTAGAAATAATGTTCAGGTCTCTGAGAACCCCTGTTTGTGTCAAGGGCAGTATTTTTTCACCTAGAAGAACCCTTAAATTAATTTTCAGGTCTTGGGGAATCATGGTTGTGACTAGAGCAGCCTTTCCTAACCTTTTTTTGATGCAGAAAAAGCCCTGGAGTTAATGATCAGGTCTTGGGGAATCATGGTTGTGACTAGGGCAGCCTTTCCTAACCTTTTGATCCAGAAAAAGCCCTGGAGTTATTGATCAGGTCTTGGGGAATCATGGTTGTGACTAGGGCAGCCTTTCCTAACCTTTTGATCCAGAAAAAGCCCTGGAGTTATTGATCAGGTCTTGGGGAATCATGGTTGTGACTAGGGCAGCCTTTCCTAACCTTTTGATCCAGAAAAAGCCCTGGAGTTATTGATCAGGTCTTGGGGAATCATGGTTGTGACTAGGGCAGCCTTTCCTAACCTTTTGATCCAGAAAAAGCCCTGGAGTTAATGATCAGGTCTTTGGGAATCATGGTTGTGTCTAAGACTGCCTTTCTTAGCCTTTTTGGATCTAGAAAAAACACTTAAAATAATGATCTGCTCTTGCAAAACCCATGCATGTGTCTAGGGAAGCCTTTAACAACCCTCAAGACCAAGAAGAACTCTTCAAATAAGTTCTCTGGGTACCCCTGCAAAAACCAGTTAATTGGCAGGCAGTGGGAAAAAATGCTTACATTGGTGGCATTGAATGCCCCCCTTACAGACAGCTAAAAAGATAATTGGTTTAATTCTGATGACTCTGTCAAGTGGTGTTGGACCTGGAACCCTGCAGCCACCATCAGATGGGAGGTCAATCAGCTATACCTCAAGAAGCTCCTAGCAAACTCTGGATGAATCCTAGCCTTTTACAGACCCCTGAGTGTGAATGGATACTCTTGGTTTATTATAAAATTGTATTACTGGTTGACATTTATTTGCACAAATTCCACCTGAAAGGATATGTTATGACATTACATGAGTTTAAGTCCTAAATGCACATCATTTGCCACTGTGGAAGTACTGTGTTGAGATGACATTTGGCTACACTATAAAAATAGATTTGACATAGACTTGTTTGTGATCATTGCAGTTACATCAGCTGAATGTTGTGTGATGGGTGTGCTCACAGTCTCTTGTAGTGACTCAGTGACTACTTAGGAAAATAATCAGCCTAATATGTTACAACTGTTAATAGCCATGGTGACTTGATGTTG